TAGGTTATAACAGTGGTATCATTTGCATTATAGGTGGCCAGCCTCCTTCGTCTGTTTGAAGTCCCGCAAGTCAGCTATGCTGCAACAAGCGCTGAGTTGAGCGACAAGGACAGGTTTGAATACTTCGTGCGAACTGTCCCCCCGGACTCATATCAAGCGCGAGCCATGATAGACATCATTACATTCATGAACTGGTCAGCGGTCTTCGCGGTTCATTCGCGCGGCAGCTATGGTGAACAGGGAATGGAGATCTTGGAAAAATTCTCGGTTATGAGCAACGTTTGTATTGCTGACCATCGGCAATTAGAACCAGATTTTACTGAGGAAGAATATGACCAGATCATAGAACGATTTCTTACAGAGAAGGATATTCGTGTAGTTGTGATGTTTTGCAATGCTGAAGATCTTCGTTCAATGCTCCAAGCCGCTAAAAGAGCGCAGAATCGAGGCGAGAAGAAGCGATTTATCTGGCTTGCAAGTGATTTTTGGGGGACAAGACTTCGTCATGTTGAAGGTTTGGAAGATGTCGCTGATGGCGCCATTACCATCGAATTTCAAACGTTTGAAACGCAATTAAAGCCATTTTACAATTATTTTTCGAAGCTGAATCCACTGAACAACTCAAGAAACCCTTGGTTTAAAGAATACTGGGAGAAGCGTTTCAATTGCAAATTTGGAAAAGGCCCGTTGTCAGGAAATCCTCGTTGTCTTTTCCCAGAGAATCGTTTTTCAGTTCTGGACAGATTCGATGCTAAAGTTCCTTTTGTCATCGATGCGGTGTTTTCATTTGCGCACGCGCTTCATGCGATGCACCGAAACATCTGCGGCCCAGTACCAGGCCTCTGCTCGGCCATGAAGAAATTGGATCGCTCTGTGCTATTGTGGTATTTGCGGAACGTGTCTTTTAATGGCACAACTGGGCTGGTGAAATTCGATGCCAACGGCGACAGTGCTGGAAAGTACGACTTCTACGCATTTAGAAACTCTTACAGTGCTTCCTATACGAAACTGGGAAGCTGGGTCGAAGGAAAATTGACGATGGACTCTCACGCACTTTACAGAGCAAATAACTACCTTGAATCACATTGTGGAAAGCCTTGTGGACCCCACGCTATAAGGCGCATACGCGATACGGTCTGCTGCTGGACATGCGAAGACTGTGACGCAGACTCTTACGTTGAAAATGACTTCACGTGCAAGACTTGTGACAAGGGAACTAGGCCAAATGCTACGTTCGACGGCTGCGAACCTTTACATGAAGTATATCTCAACAAAGTGTGGATCGTTGTAGTTGGCGTATTTGCGTCTCTAGGAATTCTTGCCACTGTCACTGTTTGTGTTGTGTTTGTTAAATTCGCTCAAACACCGCTCATAAAAGCTTCAGGACACGAATTATCCATTATCCTTCTTGCTGGAATACTACTCTGCTACAGTTTTGCTTTCGTGATGGTTTCGAATCCAGGCAAAGTTGTCTGCGCGATTCAAAGATTTGGAATTGGTTTGTGTTTCTGTGTGTGTTATTCTTCCTTATTAGTGCGCACGAATAGAATTGCGCGCATTTTCAGCGGGATAAAATCACCTTCTTTCATTAGCCCAAAGTCTCAACTTCTCATAACTGCCGTTATAATTGCTCCGGAGCTCGCCATGGCCATCACAGAGCTCTTGATTCGACCGCCGAAGGCCATTGCATCATACGAGCAAAAAGACTTTGTACTTATCAAATGTAACATAAGTACTGTTGGAATGGTAAGCTTGTTCGGCTACAATGCCGTCCTTATAATATTTTGCACATATTACGCGTTCAGAACTCGTAAAACCCCGTTGAATTTTAACGAGGCTAAATTTATTGGTTTCTGCATGTACACAACATGCGTGATATGGATCGCTTTCGTCCCGGTGTATTATGGAATAGGAGGAGGATTCCAAGCCATTGCGCTGGCTTTCAGCTCTGTTATCAGCGCTACAACAATCTTAATCTTTATCTTCTTGCCAAAAGTCTACATTGTGTTATTCAAACCCGAGAAGAATATCAGGAGCAATTCCAGACTGCGCTCAAGATCAAAGTCTTTTGACTTAAATGTACCGGAGGCAGACATTGTTTTCAATGGTAAGTCTTCGCTGAATGAATAGAGCGGTCAAACGTCTGCGCACGTGCAAACGTTGTGACGAAGCGCGCTTTCAGTTTGTCAGAACCAAGTTGGCTCACACGAGTAACAAACAACCATACAATCCAGCGATAAGTCACGGCCCAAAACAAAATGTCGAATCAACAAGATACCCGCACTTGTTTAAGCTCTGTGTTCGAGTTTTCATTTTCCCCATTTCTCTTCCCTTTTAAAAGATTCCTATGAACTTTTTCAATTATTATATGCCTATTTTGCTAGACAACGGTGGAGTCCAATGCCTTTCTCTGAAATTTTGTTCAGGAGATTGGCGCGCGGCCGACCAGAATTGATCTCCTTTAGCGTGCCTCACGTTTGACCGCTTGTTTGCCGAATGTTGATTTCCTCTCTCTCCAGCTCGATCTCACGAGCAAAAACTTTTTCTTACCGAAATGCAAAGCCCCTCAATCTCCCCTGAAACCAAATCTTCAATATTTACTCCTCGCTCGTACCGTTTTTCTGTTCTTTACTCACTGGGTTTTTAATGATAAGATATCTTGAATATACGATTCTGCAGGTCAGTCTTTCCGCAAGTTTAACGGCAGCGCCCCCTCGACGCCAAGTTTAATCACGAACAAAACGATCAAGAACGGAAGAACACAGCATCTGAGTCAACCTCAGGTACCCAGTTTCACAGCAATTTGACTTCTGAAACTTGGCACTGTTTCTAAGGACGCTTGAAAATAGCATGAAAATGTCCTTCATTTCCAGAGACAGAACCATTCTCGATAGAGATTGGATGATAGTGAGCCAATCAGAAAGCAGAGCAAAAAAAGCGGGAAGATGATCTTTGCTGAAAGGTGTCGGTACGCATGCCACCCATAAAATGTTGTAGGTGAAACGCGTGCGAAAACATGTAGCAGGCGGATAGAAAGAGTATTATGGATCCGGTGAAAAGCGCGGGAAAACAAGTCGCGGGTGGAAAGAGCGAGGGAACATGGCGCAATTGAAAAGTGCAGAAAACATGTTGCAGTTGGAAAAGGAAGCTGAGCAGACTGAAATAAAAGGCGCAGGAATGCAGAAGACAAAAGTCAAAGTTTATGGGAAATAAAAATCATCTAACCGATGCTAACGGCGAAAACTTATGCGTGCACTATGATACAGAAACCAATGGTCCCGAAAGAAGAAAGGAGTCTCAACTGTTATAACTGATATCGTATTTTCTAAAGCATCTTTTGCAAATGGCGGTTATGCCAGCAAAGGCAATTTGCTCACCTGATTCGGTTGTAAAATAATAATTTCAAATTTGTTGTGGGTTCATCTCGAGATGTGTCAGATAAATATATCAAGATTGTCAATTAGTGTAATTGTACAGAATACTTCTAAAATGTTGGCCAATTTGGTGGAGAAATAAAACCAGTAGGGTTCCCACGGAATAGTATATCTTTCAAATTGAAATTTACCTTTTCTGTATTTTTTTCCTCATCATAATTTTCGATGATAAAAATTTTCTTTGACATGCAGATGATAATCAATTTTGTTTCGTTTAAAAACAAACACTGAAACAAACTAAACAGTATGAACAGTTTCCTCTTCGTGAAAGAAGAACCCTCTAAACTGCGCCACTTTCGTCACGAATGGCTTCGTTCTCCGTCTATAGTAGCGGTACAAACTAGTACTTGGGAGGCATGAGTTCGAATGTCGTCGAAAACTGAATTTTTTTCAGACTTCTTCTCTGTTATTGCTTCAATTGCAGCTCGCTTGCGAGAATCATTGTGGTTACTTAAGTTTTTTTTCCAATTCGCTCGGGAAATTCTGGTGAGAGGTTTACCTCCTCGGAGGTGAAGAAACGAAAACTTAAAATATATAATTCAGATTTTGGCCCGTGCTTTGAAATAATCTTTTGGTATCAGAAAAGATTATGGTTGTTGTAACACGAGAATTAAGTAATTAAAAACAAGTAATTCCTTAAATATGCTAAAAAAGCATGTCTGAAAAGGGTTTTTTTTTGTCTTGTGATAAAATATGATAAATTAGCACCGTGGACCGGTGCAAGGGACGATCACTCAGTGTGAGACGAGGTTTCTTAATGGGAGTCGAATCAACGTCCTACCATTGAAGACAGACATCAAAATTGAAAACACGGCTCTTGGCACGCAAATCTCCCTGGCTTACTTCCATTAATTTAGTTTCGTAAATCCATTTTACGGTTTGTTTATGTTTTCGTTTTTTAATTTGGGGATAAAGGATCCTGTCGCAGTGAAAAGATCTTTTAGCACTCTGGCGTGAGAAGAGAAGCAATGTCACTTTTAATTCCTGATCAGAAAGTTATTTTATTTTTCCCGACACTTCTTACAGTTCTTAACACAAAAAAGAACAAATAGAAAATTGAGTTACGTTTTACCACCAGCGTAAAGTCACCTTTGTCCTTTGTCTTAATTGAGAATTTCCATCAGAGGTCATTAAGCGACACGTTCTTCAAACAAAGAACTTATTCATCTCATGGGAATTCATCCACTACGAATTTCTTTTCATCAAACGACTAGAAAACCTTAACGAAATAATCATTCTGACGCATTTTTTTGTTTGTTAAAACTGCAAGAAATTGATCATGCTTTTTTGCAAGTAGGAAATAGAAGGAAAGTTGTAATAATTTTGACAGATCTGTCGTGTCGCGAGCAGAGTTTGCGGAACAATGGCCACACTATGGGATGCTATCAATTTGTTTTAGTCCAGTTGAATCACTATGGCAGGATGGTAAGGTGACGACCAATCATAAGCCTGAATAATATTTAGTTTTATGCCACCCGAACTGGTGGGACATTAATAAAACATTCGTCGCCTTTCAGGAATAAACAAGAATCATTCCAAGTTTTAGCTGCACATCCGAGACGAGGAACAGAATCCTATCGAATTCAGGTATGTTGGCAAATTTTGCAGATGCAGTCAGCTTTTTTTTCGCTTTCATTTGAAATCTTTTTTTTTTTTCGGGTTTCGTAAAGTAATTGGTGCGATTTTAACAACCTTGCTATGTAGCGCGTTAAAGTGCAAAGTTGTACAGTAAATTATTATAATTTGTGTGCGGGAAATTTATGGGGAAGACTCTTATGGCGAGGCAAAGCTACTGCTGAACAAAGCTGGTAATAGATTTGTAAATTGGAAAAATTATAAAGATATTCATTATTCAAAGTAAAACAACTTGCATCTCTTTCAGAATTGGTTTGTTTTCTAGTGAACTCTTATTTCAAACATGACTCAAATTTGAAGCATAAAAACCTTCAACTTTCTCGATAACTTAATTACGCATTTAAGGGGTGTGTTTCAAACAGAAGTTTACTTCGCTTAACTGACAAGTGCGCTCTGTGATAAATTAAAGTAATATTCACAAAAATGACCTGGAAATACGGTAGTTATTCACTTGTAGAACTATATTTAATGTGATTTATTTACTCTGCGTGGTACGTAGTTGGGCTCACAATCTTGTCTGCGGTACGATTTAGTGAGGCTTTTGAAATTTAAATAAAACCCTTGACTTTTTTTGGGCCCGTATCTGGCTATCGCAGCCGCATAAATTCCCATAACACTCGCTCATGTAGTGGTAGCAATCAGTAAAAGTTGTCCGTAAACCACATGTTTTAATCCAATATAACACGTCGCATCATTTGCAACGTAAATAAGAGGCAATAGACGATTGACGGTAAAATGTTATCGTCTACCTGTATCTGCACAGTTCTGCCGATTCGTGCCGTGTTGAATGTCTTCAAAATTCATTCACTGCAGAAACGAATGTTCTCGGAAAAGACTGAACGCGGAACGGGGAACAGCGTTAATTCAATAATAGATTAGGTTTGGCTGTTTCGTTTGTTATTCGTATTAATGCTTGTTTACGTCGAGTTGGTTTCACTTTTCCATCCCTGCGAACAATTCAGTGCAATCATTTCTTTCTAATGGTCCGAAACTTTGATTGTAATGAGCCAGTTACACTTTGATTAATGTGTGTTTCAACCTTCAATATCTTATACTTAACAAATTTGTAAACAGAACAAGTTAACAAAAAAAAAAGGCTACCCCTTAATTTCTGATTTAATTTTGACTTACCTTTTATTTGATTTTTCAATTCTAAATTAAAATCTTAAGGGTGATTTAAATTGAGGTGTTAATTAGAGAAATTTCAAGCCAGCTGGAGCGATTTGCATCACAAGTGAAGCTTAGCATTCAATCTATTCGACAGCAGTATTTAAGATCCCACAATCAATTCTTTGGTGGTGTCAGTTTGGGTTCAAAAACCTTTACCTTTAACCTTTTCATTCTCAGAAAAGCTAAAAATATGATTTCTTCCTATAAAATTAGAACATTATACCGAAATCAGAAACTGAGAAGAGACGAATGCATCAGTCCTAGAGTTTTATCGAAACATATTTAAAAGTAAATTCTCCTAACTTGTTCAAAGAGAACCCGGTACAGGCAACAATGGAGAAGAACAGATTGGTCTCTGATCTCAAATAATTTTGTGTTTTGTTAAAAAAAAATCCTCACTCTTGGTTGGTTATGTCATTTTGAATGCATTCGATGCATCATTGTGTTCAAAGGAGAAAAGGTGTGACTTTGTATGGGGTAAAATTATCCGGCGGGATCTCGTGACATCCTGAGGTAAACGTGCTCTTTGTTCAAGTAAACCGCTGGCTAAGTATTTAGCATTACTGAAAATTGTGAACACTATCGAAATCATTTTCTCTTCTTCAAATTTTTTTTTGCCAAAATAACACCGTTTTAGCTCCACCATCAGTGAAAAAGAAAAAAATTGCGTTCCAACCTGAATAAATTTTGCATACAAATATTCAACTTTTTGTACAATTAAAGTGAAGTTTCACCTGTTTAAAGATTAAATCAATTGTCTTTTGCTAGTCTAAATAACGCTTATCTTTTATCACATTTGCCCAAACCATGAACGATCCAGAAAAATGTATACAACATTCATATGCAACACCATGGATTGATCGACAACATTGAGAGATACTCCTGAAAATTGTCTCATTATTTGATCAATTTTTTTTGCATTTAATTTTCCAGTTGTGTTACATATTAGTACCCGTGGATAGCATTTAGCCCCTCACTCGAGAATGAAATAGTTTTTTTGTTTTAATTTCGCTCAGGCGAATTGATGATCGCTTCGTAAATTTTTTATTAGGACAGAATTTAACAATGATCTTGATTTAAAGACAATTCCAAATGAGGGTATGTTTACATAAAATCTCGAGACAAACCCCAAAGCAACGCCTATTCCATATAATTTTAATGTTGTCGGTATATTTTTTCTTAGCCTGTCGCCTATGTCACAGCAAATTTATTGATAACAAAGTCTATATTCCCATAACTTTTTAAGATATTTATTTTATTTTCTCTTTGTTTCTTTTCTGTGTTAAAAATTTATGCATTAAATATTAATTACTTTGCTCTCCAAAGAAAACGACCGGTATTGTAGCAAGATCTACTTTTCTGGATTTTTCCAGTCTTTATTTCTTCAAGATAAGCATCAAATCCGCCCACAAATGTACGGTGGGTAGCTCCACTTCTTCAAACTGTGTGAGGAAGTCTTTTACCTTGCTTCTCCGCGCTGGTCTTTTAAAACTGTACGTGCCATAAAAAAAAATTCGCGGTTGAGCCTTGATGTGGTTAAAATTTTTCGCAGCAGGATAGAACACTATACAAGACCTGATTTATTCAGATGACAACAAGTAAGACGCGTTTTAGTGACTTACAAAAGCTTCGTGAGTATCTCTCACTTGTCGGTGTAAGTGTAATGTGCTTTCTGAAAAGAATTGAGTTTTGGTTTCGCCTAAGTCACCCAATGCGAGACTAGCTTTTGAACCTTCGAAATTCTCAACTCGTCTGTGGTTATTGTTTCTCGTTTTCTTGCTGTTTTTCTTTCTTACCGACACCCTCTTCTCAATTTTGTTGCAGATAAGTCTTTCGAAGTCGGCTCATCCGATGGGCGTGTTTTCGCATCCAGAGCTGCGAATCTCCTCCTCGCGTGGGCTCAAAAATATGAAGCGACGACAATAAAGTTTCCCAACCACTATTCAAAACACAAAGACGATAAAAATTCGTTCATCTGTGCTTCACGCACTCAAAGGTAAGCACAAATTATTCAACTCCAGCATCTGTTGTAATTGCCTCTGGCTCACTTATGCGGGATAGCCTTGGAGTTCAGTTCAGCTACAGACCATGTTTCATAATTTCATCTCTTGATCTTCAGCCGGAGAACAAAAAGCTTTCTATTCTATGGTGAACAAATAAACTGGAAGTGTGAGAAGTTCTGAAAAGATTAGATCTAATCTCACCATCCTGTGGCTGTTGCCTTAAGCTTTCGACTTTCTTTTTCACTCAAGAAACTTATCAAGCACACCCGGCCGGTGAAACTGCTTTGTGTCACTTATTCACACGATTATCCGAAGGCCAGTTACGTCGTTTTCGAGTCCTAGCTGGCTTGTAATCTGAACAACATCACAGTATTTACAAATCATACCAACGTTACTCCTGCGGGTTGGATTCCGTAATGACATTACGTCCATGCATAAAAATATACTCTTATTTCTTATCTAGCTTGATTGTTTACAGATAATGGAAATAAATCAATTTTCACAAATGCGAACTATCGCATACTCTATAGAGCGTAGTTTGCAGTATGTTTGGTAAAAGAGGGCTATAATTTATACATGTCTTGTCTGGCATAAAGCGAAAAAAAAAAGATAATGAAAAGACAGTTCGCGTGTTCATCAATTAAATCCCCCTTAGGAAAAAGCATTGTGTCAAAATTCTTGCGCGCGTCAAGTAAATGAAACTTACGCGCGCAAAAAAAAAAAACCGACATGAAAACCGGCTTAAGCGAATTTACCCAATTGTAAAATTCCATGGGTACAGCGTTCGGCAAAGCATTCTCGTTCATATCTTCTAGCAAAAAAAACATTAAAACCTTGTACACTCGTAAAATTTGTTATGTAAACAATTCTTTGAGGAGCAAGATGTTATTAAATACAGAGTGCTTATTAGCTCCATACAACAGTGACAATTTCACGCCATCTTAATCAAGCCTTTCTTGATATGCAGACTGCCTCTCAATTAATTAACTAGTTTCAATTTTCGAGAAGCTCTATGTTCCGATCTCTGACTAGTAAGGAAGACGAAACAAGTTAATGCAACAGAATTTTATGTAACTACCATCAAGAGATTTTAACTCTTGATTTACCTAACAGCAAACGATTACAACCTCCCTTGCTGTTCCCGCGGTTACCGGTCAGTGGTGCTCAGTTCACTTCATGTTACGACACTTAAAGTCAAATCTTGATGATTAGATAAACGAAAAATTATTCGAACAGAGAGGAATGACAATTTAAAGATCAAATTGATTGTTGTATGTTTTCATCAAGATCTTATCGCCTCTATAATGTGGGATGATTTTTAAACTAAATTGAACCTCTAGCGCAAGTAAATTAGTTGCTTTAAAGAATTGCTACCTGCTAACTAGGATTTGTATGAGATCCTGATAACACGAGGAGTGAAAGTCTTAAGGCTGGAAAGAACAAAGATGAACGTTGTTTCGCAGATGGTAAATTACTGGAAATAAAACGAGTTACAAAAACTACTTTCAATCTTTATTTTGATTCAGTCGTTAAACAGCGGTCATCAGTTACCTCTCGTCTCCTCACTAAAATGCGCGCGGGAAGAGATGCATGAAGATCTTGGAAGGAGAGAGCCGCAGTAGTCACTTGTGCGCATTTCAAACCTAGTTTCATGTTCAACTTATAAATTTAAATGATTGATTAGTTGTACCTGTAGGGCTGGTAAAAAGTAACTTTTCTTTTTCTCGTGATTTGTCGTTATAGACTGGTCGTAAATTAACCCACAGTAATGCATGCGCTCTCAGTGGCCGCATCGTCACGAACTTCCGGTTATGATGGAGACCGCTATGGCAGATGTGAAAATTTGGAACCCTATGGCCCGCAATCAGTCACAACAGCGGATACAGGAATAAGAATTCGCATCAACGTCCGGGGACTTGTTTTCGAAACCTATGAACAAACTCTGGCCCAGTACCCTCAAACATTGCTCGGTTCGCCAAGCAAGCGGAGGGAATATTACAACACTCTGAGCAAGGAATACTGTTTTGATCGTGATAAAGTTGTGTTTGATGCCATACTGTTTTTCTATCAATCCTGCGGAATTTTATCATGTCCCGAGCACGTTCCACGGGAAAGTTTTTTAGAGGAAATAAAATTTTTCCAGCTTCATGAAGCGGACTTGAGGTACAAACAGGAAATTGAACCTGAGAAGGTGAAAGATGTTGAAGAGGAGATGCCCGAACATCCGATTCAGCGAAAAATTTGGAGGCTTCTAGAATACCCTCACACCTCCATTTGGGCGGATTTGCTGGCAAAATTCAGTTTACTTGTGATAATATTATCAACGATAACATTTTGTATTGAGACTATCCCGAGGTTTAATCGGCGCACTGTTTGTCGTGATGTCACTTCGAGCTCCTTACACAACAATACCAACGGTCATATATTGACAGTTGACCTCTACAACACTTCGCTGGGCGATAATCACATCAACCTGACAGAGACACACTGTACTGTTATAGAACGTGGTACCTATTGGTCAACGATCGAGACTGTCTACGTAGCATGGTTTACGTTTGAATATGTTTTGCGACTTATTGCTGCTCCAAATCGAATCAAATTTATGACTTCCGCCTTAGGTTTAGTTGACTTTTTAGCCATTTTGCCATTTTATATCACTCTTATCTTCGAAGCGGATGGTGTCTTGATGACGTCATTTCCGGTTTTAAGGATAATTCGCCTCATTAGAGTGTTACGAGTCCTGAAGCTTTCTCGCTACAGCAAAGGCTTGAAAGTTCTCGCTCAAACATTAGTTATGAGTGGAAAAGACCTACCGTCGCTATTAGCAGTTATGATTATTAATGTGATCCTCTTCTCCAGCGTCATTTACTATGTTGAGAATGACGTGAAAGACAATGACTTTGATAGTATACCAGACGCCTTTTGGTGGACGATAGTCACCATGACCGCAGTGGGTTATGGGGACAAGGTACCGAAAGGTGCTCTGGGTAAATTAATTGGAGCCATCTGTGCTGTATCCGGGATAGTTGTTCTGTTTTGTTTCCCCACCCCTGTCCTGCTGTCACACTTTGAGGAGATGTACAAGCTAAAGGGAAGTAGTCCGGCGAACAAACAGAAAGGGAAGGAAAAGCAAAACAATGGGAAACAGGAGGATGAAAGCAAAATGAAAGACACTGAAGTCACTCTGTTGGGAGAAGGAGAAAGAATTGAGATTTACGTTTAATTTTTATATCCAAATTGTTTAGGTATGGTTTCTCCAGACCCCTGAAAAAGGTGCAAAGTTTTCAGAGGCGAAAGTTAAGAATCACAGTTTTGTTAGAAAAAGTAACGATATAAATGATAATAAAAAAGAATCTCATCCCTTACCCAGCTTTCCCTCGGTTTTATGTAAAATTTCACAGACAATGAAAAGATGTAGGTACAAGATATAACAGGATCCGTAGCTAAAAGACGAAGACTAGCTGTGTAGCAGTCGAAACGTTGTAATCAATAGAGTTGATAGCCTGACTCTATATCGCGAGGCATACGATTTACGTTCAATTAGAAAAGACTTTCACAGAGCAAAAAGAGTCACAAAGATTTTGATTAAAACTGCTCGAGACTCACCTGAAATATACCCTCCACCTGAAATATACCCTCCACCTGAAATATACCCTTAGCATTGCTTGGTGTTTCTCAGTATGTGTCCTACGAGTAATCAAATTTATAGTTATGAGACGAGAAGCGAGCTGTTATCGACTGCATCACTGTCGTACTAATCTTGAAAAGTTCACAATACTCTACCAAGGTCCCAAAATTTGGAATTCTCTCCCAATATCGATAATTCGTTCGACTAGCTTTTGTGCATCTAAAAAGGAAAATGATGATTGAATTTTTAATGAAATGAGTCTGTATTGACAAAGCCGCATATCCACAACTTAATCACAAACCTATTGACAACCGAGGTGACCTCCCACATTAGTCTGGTGGTTTCCTGGAGGTCTCTCCGCCTTTCCATACTGTTGAAATTGCATTAACATTCGTTCTGAAGTGGCTGATAATGATAATGATGATGGTGATGAAACCAGGGTAAGTAGTTGGTTCGTCAATTTTGAAGAGGAAGAGGCTACGTACGTGTCGCGTTAATCACGGTTTTATCTGCTGGCGATGTAAAGTTACGATCAAAGCTATAGAAGACAACTAACAATCTTATTCCTTAGTGACAAAATTAATATTATTTTTGCGGATTCATTAGATAAAAGATACTGGGGAAAAACGCGGGAAGAACACGGGAAGAGATCGTAATCGCTAACTGACTTTAAGAATCTAAAACAATGTTTTAAACCCATGTAAAAATTATCTCCATGGGATTAACTCCCGACGTTATAAATTCATGAGAGCCGAGCAGTCTCGAAATCCTTGTGTCTCGTGAACTCTGAGAAGTGCCTAATGACGCCCGATGACGCCTGATGTCCCAGGTTTAACGGTGGACACGAGATTTTATTTCGTCAACTTCATTGACAGTACAACGATTTGTGCTGGAGGAAAAGGGTGAGTTCGTAATCTAATCAATTTTCAGCATTTCCCTTTTTTTCACACAACTTCTTAAAGATATTCGCTCTTTGGTTATTTGAGTACTCTGGGGAACAGTTATTTCACTTGTAACTTATACTTAAAACTAGAAAACTACTCAAAAAAAATAGCTTTTTTAAATAACTTTTAATAAGTCACGACTCAGGCAGCCAAAAAAAGTACACTTCGCACGCTAGACGTGCTTATGATTAGACATCAGAGTGGAGGCATGGGGCGAGATTCCGTTACCTTTGAATGAGGTGAATATGAAGTTATGCCAAGCTGGGCCGATTGTAGAAAGTAGATCGACTTTGTTTCCAGATTTTCACTGTTTTTATGATGCGTCGACGTAGGGGATGGAGAGAAAGAGATTTTGCCGAAGGTAGGCACTTAGGTCAGCTTTTTCCATGAAAAACCGGGACATAGTTTCCCGATATAGTTCGGAAATAGATCTTGATATTCGATCGAGATCATGCACATTTATACAGTAATGCATGAACTCCGTCCAATTTGTGCGATCTGGAAGCTTTTTTAACTTCGATCTGTACAGCTTTTGACTTTTGATCAAGATCTGCCTCAGAAGAAAAGAATCTACAAAGATCTCAGTACCTGATTCGAGTATTCGTGGGTAGCTACTATTTCAGGCTGAGTTTCGAAAATCCCATCACAACTTTGGCGCCCGAATTTAATTTGTAATTTAGTAAAACATCGTCCTAAACAATAGAGAATCGGAGATATTTCTCGTAAATATTTCTGATACCCGTAAGAGCTTGATGCATCATCTGTACAACACATTTCCACTCATATAGGCGAAGTTTCTGCACAGCCCCAAAACTCCATCATGCATACAGTTCTTGAAAACCATAGAATGCCTTTGTGAATACGGTTTTGTTTAACCCCTTAAATTTCCAAGATCTGATTGTTAATTCTCCCTTCTAGCTTATACATATTTCCTTGTAAATTAGTTATGAGAGCATGGTGCTAGATCAAGATAGTTCTGGAAGTTGAAGGGTTAAGGAGGCTATACAGAAATATTTCTGATGTCATCAGTTATCATTACTTGACCATTTGATATTGTTAGAAAGTCATGAGGAAAAGTGTCTTAACCCTTTGAACTTTCCACTCTCAAGATCTCATTAATAATTCTCCTTACTGTCTGCAGTACAATTCTTATGATGTGAGTTTGGAGAATTTGGTTTTGGATCAACTACTAATTTGCAAATTTATATTTTTCCTTATTCTCATCACTTGTCTGTTTTATATTGTATTGATATTGTAAGGAGAAATTCTGTCTTGGTCTTTAAAGGTTAAACTGTAAGAGTGACCAGCATCTAATTTCTCCTTACAGTAATACTGCTCAATCATCCAATAAGATCATGAGAATAAAGGAAATGATCACCAACCTAAGAAGCTTTGATTGTTAATCAAATTCTCCTTGTCAGCACCTTAGGAAATGTATAGAGAGTTGTATGGAGAATATACTTACTGATGTAATGGTGTGAAGGGTGAACAATCTCTCTTTGTGGTCAACAGTTAAGATGCTATGATTTTCTTAGAGAAAGAGCATCTAAAGTATTTCCGAGCAATAATTTTTGATAATTGCAGGGTTTCTTTCATCTATGGCCTTATGATAAATTTAATTGTTAACTTGATAAGGGAAAGTTGGTTTTCTTTATTCTTATCATTTTTTAAACGTTATTTATTATTGCCAGTCAACAGTGACATGTGTAGGCTGTGTTTCCAAGGACCTGATGAAGAAATTTTTGGAAAATTCTTAAAGGATATAAATACTGGTTTTTCAGTTCACCAGTATTGTATGGTAAGGAATGATTCCTTTACAAATTTAAAATTTTTTTGCATGTAGTTCAGCCCTCTGTCCCTTTTAATCTCCTTAACCTCTAAGAGTGACTAGAATCTAAGTTCTCCTTACATTATCACCCCTGAATCACTCATCAAGGTCATGAGAATAAAAGAAATGATCACCAACTAAAGAAGCTCTTGATTGTTAAACAAATTCTCCTTGTCAGCACCTTAGGAAATGTATAGAGAACAGTTTGGAGAATATGCATACTGATTAATGTCAGTGTGTAATGGTTTAAAAGGCAGTTGTGCCTCAGTTACACTTACAATGTTGGGAACATGGGAATAGTTTGTAAATCACTCACCTCCAGCCAGTAATGAACAAACTTTTCTAGGCATGTGTTATCACGCTGGTAAACTGATAGAAAGCCCTGTCTATTGCATAATGAATTGTTTCCTGTGCAGTTTCTTTCCTCAGGACTGGCTCAGAGAGGAAAAGATGATGAAGAATTTGATGGATTTTTAATCAAGGACATAAAGAAGGAAATATCAAGGGCAAAGAGACTGGTTAGTGGCTTAGATGAAATTTTTAATGTGCCTTTAAGCCTGGATCTCACTTATGACAGAGTTGGGGTTGGATTGGTTATCAGAACCACACAAGCATACAATCTAGAGAAAATCAAACCAATGGAATTGGAAAAAAAATATAGATGTTGCTTACGGTACAACTTTGTTGCCTACAGTTAAGTGAAAACTGGATTGTTGGAGTGGTGAGTAGAAGACTGTTTTCGGCAGGATGGAAAACTGGAATTTTGATTGAATGTCTGTTTGCTTCTGCTTGTAACTCCCATGATGTAGTTTTCCCTGAATCATAGGAGTCAGAGAAAAGTGAAATTGGAAGAAAATGATATGATGTAGTAAAAATTGAAAATCGCAATTGTAAGCAGAGTTATAAAATGAACAGAATCAAAACCAGAAGAAGCAGGGCAGTTTCATTTTCTTCCAATTTCACTTATGACTCTGATGCTTATGATTCAGTGAAAACCCTCTTACAGTTCTAACTATGACTTGGATTCCAATTCTGTCGCCTGCGAAACCAGCCTTTAGAAATCTAAAATTCCAAAAACAGTCCTGGTCACTTATTTGTCAGATACAGACACTCAAGTCTCCATCCTGGGCCACTGAACTGTTTTGTTGATAGCCTTGATTTTCAATTAAAGATACAGAATAACACACATCTAATGATAATTTTTTTGTAGTTTCTCTCATAATGCAGTTGTTTGACCCTTTAACTTTGTAGAGTGATCAAGATAGAACTTCTCCTTACAAACAAAACATCAATTAGGGGATTATTGGTTGATTCAAAACCAATTTTTTCAAACTCAAATGATAAGAATTGTAAGGAGTGAATTTATGAATTTTTGAATGTTTAAGTGAAAGGGATGTGCAATGTTTTTTAGCTGCTCACTGAACTTATTTCCATCTGTCACTGGTGCAGCTGAAGTATTTGATATGAGCCTGTACCTGTGAGATTGACCACTGACCAGAAGAGCCTGCTGAGCTGCTCGTGATGAATTATCTTATATTTTCCAATGACTATTTATATTAATTGTCTTTATGGTATTGTTTAGTTTGGCTCATTTCTTTGCAGAGATGCAGTTTCTGCAGGAAGCTGGGTGCCTCTATTGGCTGTTGTGAGGGAGGATGTCGTGAAACTTTCCACTATAAATGTGGAAAAGAGAATGGAGCTCTGTTTCAGTTTTTTGATACCTTTAAGTGAGTTGATTTTCAGTGGTAATAACCTTCTTTTGCTTTGCACTTGAGCCATAAATCCAAGCGGAAAATACCCAGTCCATGACTTACAATACGGAATTTTAATGGGGTTAGTAAGGGGTTTTTAACCCTTAAACCCCTAGAAGTGATTAATAAGTAACTCCTCTCTACAATATCCTTTTATTATCCACCAACAGGTAATGAGAATACTCAAATGTATCAGGTTGAAGTTGTTCTCTTGATCTAACACCAAATTCTTGTAACTTATTCACATGGAAATAGAGGAGAGCAGAGAGAATTAACAATCAGATCTTGGGAATTGAAGGGTTAAACATGTAATTGTTGCTTGTGATTTCAGTAAAATAGCTTAACTTTTTGAAAGAAACTCTGCATCAGAAAGGCCAAAATTTGATGAACACTGTCAGTGGCATTTAATGGATAAGTTAATGATATTAATAATGACTGTCTTTAAAGGTTGCCTCATCCATAGGAGATTTTGAGGCTAGTCCTGTCTGAAAAATCTAGGACTTGGAAAAAAAAAAGTGAATAACAACTTAAGATTTTTAAGAATAACTACACCAAGGTTAACCCTTTTAACTCCCAAGATCAAATGATTAATTCTCCTCTCAGGCTGCTACACATTTCCTTGTAAATTAGTAATGAGAACATGGTGTTACAGTACCTCTTGAAGATAAGCGAACCGCTCAACGTGTTCCCCACGCAGAGCCAACGCGTTGGCGTTTTGAACTTAACGCGTGTCCACGCAAACGCAAACGCGTTTAGTGAAGCTCATTAGTAGATCACACTTTAAAACCATTTTGCATAACAAGAGGCCCAAACAAAGCCGACTTTTTTGTCACATTCGCCTTAGCATCTCCACGGCGTCTGTGTATTCCCGATAACAAGCGTTATCCAAAGATCTGTTCCTGATAAAAAAAAAAAACCCAACTAAGAGTCAAGCGATTTCATTTTACAACCTGTAATTTGTGAAGCAGGTAATTTAGTGTTAACAACTGGGTTGAAAACGTAAATTAGCCACCGTAAAGGGTAAAAAAGCTGACGTTTCGAGTGTTAGCCCTTCGTCAGAGCGATAGAATTTGTGAATACTTTCGAAATTCTTGTTCACCTGTATCCCAAACTTTTTTTTTTTTTGGTCGATCAAGATAACAACTTCTAACTGATAAGTTTGAATATTCTCATTACCTGTTTGCTGGATAATGTAAGGATATTATTGGGAGAAGTTTCATGTTGATCACTTCTGGGAGTTAAAAGGTTAATAAAACAGAGCTACCAAAAAACTGCAAAGTCTCAGTTTTCTGACTTAAATTACACTAAAATTCTTAAGATAGCATTTTTGAAATGGCAAATAGTTTCACTGGTCCTGATTATTAATGGTCTTGTTCCATTCTGTAAATAACAAATAAAACAAGTGTGACTGGCCCTTACTACCATGAGATACCAAAAAGATAATTGTGATGATTGTTGTGAATGTTGATTACTAAATGTAGCATCAATAATAATATTTACCATATTTTTTCCCTTTGTGTTACACCACAGTTCTTTTTGTCGGCATCATCGCCCAACCCAGGATGTGGCATTAAAAAGAAACCAAACCTGTCCAATCTGTTTGTGTGAAATAGAACAGAAGAATAAGTCACCTGTTTATGATATTCCCCTCGTCACACCTTGCTGTAGAAGGACATGGTTTCACAACAAATGTCTTCAGGTACAGAAAAATCCTTTTTTTTCCAATTTTTTTCCAAATTATAATTTTCACAACTTATTACCAAACTCCACATTTTCGTCAAGTTGTTGTTGTTTTTTTGTTTGGACATCATTGATTGACAAGGCCACCAAAGAATCACTTTGATTTTCAAATGATCCTGGCAGAATTACTCATTAGAAAAAAATCTATCTGTATATGAATAACTGTAGCTTGTTACACAATCTAGATGCGATGGAAGTTCAGATTGTCACCAAGGAAAAAACACAATTATATGAGTATTTAACCATTTTACCACCCTGGGATACATCTGCAACTTAAAACCTTTAAATTCAAATGGAGTAATAATATGCTAAGACACCTTTTCTGGGAAATGTTTTGTTCAATTTATGATCATACTTATAGCTTTTCAATATTTTTCCTGTAGAAACATGCAAAGTCAAGTGGGTTGTATTACTTCCGTTGCCCAGTTTGCAATAATTTGGAAGAATTTCAAGAAGAAATGAAGCGAATGGGAATTTTCATACCTGATCAGTAAGTTTTAGTTAACCTGTTTATCAACCCTTTCACTCCCAAGATCTCATTAGTAATTCTCCTAAAAGACTACCATACAATTCCTATGATTTTAGTGCTGAGAATTTGTGTTTGGATCAACTAATAATCTCCTACTTGACATTTCTCTTTATTCTCATCACTTGTCTGCTTGATATTGTATGGATGGTGTGAGGAGAAATTCTGTCCTGGTCACTCATGGGAGTTAAAGGGTTAACTCTCATGGGTGACTGAGACAGAATGTTGATTTATAACATCAATACAATATCAAGCAGACAAGAGATGAGAATAAAGAAAAATATTAATTTAAGGATCATTAGTTGATCTAATACCAAATTCTTCAAGACAACATCAACAGAATTGTATGACATACACTAAAGAGAATTACTACTGAGATCTTGGTAGTGGAAGGGTTGAAATGATCTCAGATTAATTTCATGTCAGAGAAGTGAATGTTCACGTAATATATTAAAGGATGGAATGGATTATTTTATGTAAAAGATTCCAAATGCATAGAAAATGAGTAAGCCCTCCTTTTCGATGATGTCGGGGAAAAAATGGTGATTGTGTGCTACAAGAATCTTTGGTTATAGTCTACCAAATTCATAGATTGTGGGTATTAGTCCCTGAAAATCTGCTATTAGTGTTAGAAAACTGACAAAGGATATTTTTGTAAAATTCTTTACAGGGATGCTAGTTGGGAAACAGAAGATGCCTTTGTTGACCTTCTTTTTCAGTACAGTCGCTGTGATGCAAAGAACTGTGTCTGTCCCAATGGCAGAGAGTATAAGGAAACATCTGGGTATAAAACACTAAAATTCTCTTGTTTTTAGTGGTGTATTATACATTGAAAATTCTACTTTGATTTAAAACTTTCATTGAAAATAGTGCAGTCAAGAGCCATTGGATTAGTCCATTAGCAATCAATGACAGTACCTAAGCAACTGGACACCTACCTCCCATAACCTATCTATAACCCTAAATAGTTATCAGTTGACTGTTATTGGGGTAGGGGAGGGGTAGGTGGCCAGTTGCTCAGATACCAACATTGATCCATGTAAAGCTAAAGCAGTGGATTTTTGGAAAACCTTTTGTATTTTACATTATATCAGTATTCCAAGCTCAAGGTATTTCAAACATACCATTTGGCACCGTAAAAAAAACAGAAAACAACCTTCAGAGATGAAATTTAGTCAACAGAGGAAAAAAAAAATGATGGAACTATGGGAACACTTTGTGTAATATTGTATGGTTGAAAAATGGCTGAGCACACTACAAACCTTTGAAGTAAGCAATGTGGTTGTTTGATGTTAAAGGTTCATCAGTTTACTTCAACTTAAGATCAGTAACATGCAATGTTAGAGCCTGCTTCTTTTCCACAAAACACAGGTCACCAATTGGGCAACTTTCACTGTAAATTTAGTTGCCAAAATTGTTTTAAACTTGTGGTTGCCATGGAAATGTTTTTTGCTTGGAGGGCTCAATTCATCTACAGTATTGCTGCTCTAATTTCAGAAAATGGCGCTTGCGTTTATGTGACACCTGTGGCCAAACTGGCACCCATCTGAAGTGTCAACGCTGGAAGAAATCCCCCGGAGAATGGCATTGTCATGTATGTGGACATAGTGAGCCTCAATTGAGTACACGGCAAAGACAAATAGGGGATCATTCCATGAACTATTTAAGCCATGACGATGATGATGATGCATGGGAATCACCAACAGAAGACTGTGAAGTCAATGTGTGTTCAGTGTCAGATGATGAACCTCCTCTTGCTGAGATCAGAAATGAGTTAAACTGCAGAAGAGAGACACCTTTACCTGAAGATACTGTTGTGAAGAAGCCTAACATGGGATCATCTCCTATGAGGAAACGTCTCAGAATTTCCCTTCAAAGATCAGATGATGAAGACGAAACAATTGAACAAAAAGGAGAACGTACAATAGAACTTCAAGAAACTCCTGACTTTAGTGGCCTTCACCTTGGTGACAGTTCATCATCGATGACATCTAGTGTTCTTCTTACTCTCTCTGGTCTTATCACAGGGTCAGCGAGGGAAAATCTTCAAAATGAATTTGAACTAATTGGTAAAGAATCTATAGAATCTGATTGTTCATCAGATGCAAGTGTTGAGTTTGTTAAGGCAGTGAAAACAGATAAGGAACATTTTGACAGTGAAGCTAATGTCGACAGATCAGCACCAGTTCTCCCTAACACAAGATCTGCACAATGTGGTAAGGTGCCAAGAAGAGCATGTTTCCGAGAAGTAAAACAGGATTTGTCCTCAACAACATCAAAAGCAGTTATGGATTTTGTGGAAGCAGAATCTTGCATCATTTCTGTGAGGACTGAAGGAGGAGAGTCCACATCAGTTGTGAATTTTTCAGTTGCAGAGAACAAGGAGGATAGTGATGAAGATTCCTGTTGCATCACTAAAGTAGTGAGAAAGTTGTGTCCTTTTGGAAATGACAAATGTGGGCTGAAATGTGACCTTGATTGCTGTAATTCTGTAGTGCGCCACATTTATCAGTCTCCATCACCATCAGCAGTGTCAATGGGTTCATATGTGCACAAAGACTTACAAAGTAAGACATTTGATAGTTCCAGTACTTGTGGTAGTACAAGTCATGTCAAAGGGAACAAAGGCAAACCTGTGGATAAAAACAAACTCTTTGATACAACAACCACAGAGGCAGTTGAGGAAGACAGGGCTAGTTTTATCTCTGTTGGCACCAATACCTTGCCTTTCAAACCATGTGTGAAGAAAGATTCTCTTCACAAGGTAGCCCCAGATGCTGCAACTACTCAAAGGAAAAGAATTAAATTGAGCACCAAGAAGTCTAGCAAGCGTCTGAAAAGATTTGCTGCTGTCCAGGATGAAAAAGTAGCTTTGAGTCACAAATGCTAACACAGACATCTAAAACAATTTACTAGTAGTAATTTTATTGTATAGTCAGAGGAGTTTGTGTGGTAATGGTGGCACATTTGAGAATGAAGTCCCTGTTGCATTTCCTTTTTAACCCTTAACTCCCATGAGTGACTAAGACAGAATTTCTCCTAACAATATCAATAGAATATCAAGCAGACTTGTGATGAGAATAAAGGAAAATATCAATTAGGGGATTATTAGGTGATCCTATTCCAAATTCTCTGAACTAACATCATAAGAATTCTACCACAGACAGTGAGGAGAATGACTTGTTAGATCTCATGAGTAAATGGGTTTACATTTTCACACCTAGAAGTGACCAATTTTTAAGCAGAAAGGGGACTAGAAGAAAGACAAATATCAACTCTGGGGTATTGCTTGATTTAAAACCAAATTCTCAGAGCTAAAATCAGCTCAGATGTAGGACAGATAGTAGGGAGAATTGATAATTGAGATCTTCAGAGAGATATGGTGAACAGTTGATTTGATCGGATGATAGGACAAACACAAGGTTCCTGGGTCTTCAAACAAATTGGATCCTTGTGAGAAGTCGGAGGTCCAAATCACTTGCCAAGTTCAATAGGAGGAACATTGCTCTGGGTAGAATTAAACACCCTTTACACCCTAACATCAGTATGCATATTCTCCTTACTGTTCTCTATACATTTCTTAAGGTGCTAACAAGGAGAATTTGTTTAACAATCGAAGCTTCTTTGGTTGGTGATCATTTTCTTTATTCTCTTCATCTTAACAGATGATTGAGCAGTATTTTTGCAAGGAGAAATTAGATGCTAGTCACTCTTACAGTTTAACCTTTAAAGACCAAGACAGAAATTCTCCTTACAATAGAGAATTTGTTTAACAATTGAAGCTTCTTTGGATGGTGATCATTTTCTTAATTCTCATGATCTTGATGGATGATTCACCAGTATTACTCTAAGGAGAAATTAGATGCTGGTCACTCTTCTGGTTTTAAAGCATCAACGGGAACTGTTGTAGGGACTTGTCTCTCTGGGAGTGCCAATTTAAACTGGGACTATTTTTCCCCTTGGATTATAGAAGAAATTTTAACTTACCAAGTACTGTAAAACAACTGTCTATGGAGTTATGTGTTTACTCCTCAACTAAAACTTCTCTTTTTCACTCTGTGTAGAATTCTTAATCAATAGTGGGGCCACTTTTATAGGGAGTTGCCATATGTGTTGTGATTAATGTTCACAGTTGTTGTACTTCATTTTACTCTGAAATATTTTTATTGGTTTTTATGTAAAATTAAAGAAGCAATGATCATACAAACAATTGTGCATTTGTTGGTAAGGCAATGGGTAATACTAAATTTCATAAGGCCAGCCAATCAACCCCTTCCCCCCCCCCCCCCCCAGAAATTTTAAACCCTACAACTTCTCCTTATGACATCCAGGCATTATCCAGAAAACAGGAAATGAGAATACTCAAACTTATCAGGTAGAATTTGTTATCTTGATCTAACACCAAATTCTCATAACTTCTTTACAAGGATATGTGTCTAACAATTGAGGCCAAATGTATCTCAACACAAAGTTGAATTTGGTTTACAAAATTTATTATGAAAAAAATAAATATGTACATAAATTACATTAATATTTACAACAAATGCAGAAACCTCCCTGAGTCAAATTGTTTAAATGTTATGTAAATCTTACACCAAAAACCTACAAAAAGGCCTTGCTTAGGGTCTGTCTGAAAGCAATGTGATCTGATTTATAATGTGGTTTCATATCTTTTTTTGATATTTTGCCAGAAAAGCGAAACTATTTGAACCGGTTCGCTTTAATCAAAAAAAAATCTAATCCGCTTAAAATCTCACACAAAACTCTCAAGCGATCAAAACATACAGAAGCTTGAAGAGAATTTAGGATCGAAACTAACCAATCATGAAATGAAAAAGCTTCCTGAGAGGTCCGAGGTTTGATTGTTTTCTCTGCGGGAAGCTTTGTGTTTTTTACTTCAATGTTATTGGTTTGTTTTTAAAAAAAAAAAAGATTGACATCGTTTGTTCTCAATAAACATGTTCATTGGTTCATTTTTCTTCATTTCGATCCGGTTCAAATAATCTCGCTGCTCTGAGCGCTTCACAGAGTAAGTTTGCTTTCATTCACGATTTGAGTTGTTGGGCTGTAATTATCACTGAGCTGGTTACCTCACAGTTATTTTGAATAGTAAGTGGTTCTAATAATTTCTTTTTAGTTTTTAATTGGAATTGCTGAGGCCTAAATTAATAGCTTACACTTAGACTGACTATTGCTTAGTAAATTATGTGCCTTTTGCTTACCTGCTTCTGTGATGTTATTTGCGAAGAGGTTTAACTTGCGTAGCTGACAGTTGTTGTTGTTGATGGCTTCAGCCAAGTGCTGTGCTCCAATGTCTGAGATTTTATTGTGTGAGAGGTTTAACATGCGTAGCTGACAGTTGTTGTTGTTGATGGCTTCAGCTAAATACTTTGCTGCTTCATCTGTCAATTGACTATCTGCGAGGTTTAACCAGCTCAGTTGAGATTCCCTACATTTTAACAATTTACAAATCTCCAAACAACCTAATGGACCAATGTTATTGAAACTCAAATCTAAATGTGAAATTTGTTGAACATTAATTACATTTACTAACGAAGAGCAATCAACAGCTGTGAGGTGACAACCAATAAAATTTACAAAATTAAAGTTAATTTGTTGAAGTTTTCTCTGTGCTTCTGACTTCATTCTACTATTTTCGTTTAAACATTTCATTAATGTCACTGCTAAATATCGTTCGTCTTTAGTCGGCCAGCAGGTCACTTTCGTTTTCTCTTCATTCTCTGTCCACTGTACGTTGTAGAGTTTGTCTTCTTTTTCTTCAGTGTTCACAGGAAGAAGGTCCGTGATAATTTCGCTTGGTAGGTTATTTTTGTTCTCCATTAATCCTGCTACAAACTGAAAAACCAGCTGCCATTTGCCTTCCTTAATGTTCATTTGAACAAAGGTTTTTAATTCTGTTTCACTCATGTTAGTTAGGTGCTTTGCAGCGAAAAACTCCTGCATTGTGAGATGAATAAAACAGAACTGTCCTTCGCTACTAAACGAGTCAACTTCACGGTCGGGTAAGCGGTGAAATAGAGCGCTGTCCTCCATTCCGCGTACTTCGTTTGCTGCAAAGATCAGCCTTCCTTCTTTAATTCCTTCAAATGCCAATTTTTCTAGTTTCTCCAATTTTTTTTCTTCTTCGCGGGGCAATTCATCTGATTCAAAGTCTTCGTCAGTGAAATGTTCATTGCGAAATTCTTCGTTGTGTCTCAAGTAGAAAATTTTCACGGCTCTCTTGTATATGCCTGTTAAACTTGTTGGTAGGTCGAGACCTCTAGAAGCATGGAACTTCACCATTTTAAAGAGACTTGAGCAAATGATGAAGCAGCTCGCAGGAATGTAACATAGAGATAAGATATTGATGTTGCTGGTGATGTGACGCTTTACTGTGTCGCCTGCTTCCTTGTCTTCTTCAGCAAATCTGGTTACGTATTCTTCGACTTGTTCGGATGAGAAGCCAAGGATTTCGAACATTTTGTCAAAAGGAATACTTTTGATGCATGAAAGAGCTGTAGGTCTTGTAGTAGTTAGAACGGCTGCTCCATTAAGAAGTTTTCCAGTCGTTAGTTTGGCATAAAGCGCGGAGAGGGGCATCTTCTCGTCTACTTTGTTTCTGAATTGAGGTTCATTATCTTTTTTGCTGATTTCTGATTTAAATTTAAATTCATCAATTCCATCAAAAATAAGGAGAACTTTCTGCGGGTTTTCTAGGATGTAATTCCAGACTTGCTCATCCAGCTCATCCCTGGATGAGTATGTGGAGCGGGTAAGTAGCTCTCTAAGACTAAGTTCGGTTGCAGCGTTGAATAATCTGAACTTGACGAAAAAAGCAGCATCAAAGTGGATTTTGTCATCGGGTGTTTTTTGGAATACTTTGTTAGATGCCCAGTCTCTGAGAATTTTTGTACAACAAAGAGTCTTTCCGATTCCGGGACGACCGACGATCAAAATGTTTTTGTTTTCGTGATTAAGAATGTCCTCTGGCCCTCTCAGTGTTTCGTTTTTCTCACCCGACCTGGCGTAGATTTGCAAGTTCTTCCGTCTGTCTTCAGTGAAGTCATAATCAGCCATGTTAGGTACAACAACAAGGTTGGTGTAAATCTGATCCAGAGTCAAATGTTTAGGTGGGTGTCCTTTGCCAGGAGGACCTGGAAAAAGCGACCGGAGTTGTGGAGGTTGATAAGTGTCGTCCATAATCATTTTCTTTGTATTCTGGATGAATTCCTGAAGCGGTGATTTTACGAGTTGTTCAGGCCCGCCCTGCAGATGTGAGATGTTTGTTTCTGTCCGTCCTTGCCGCTGAGGTTCATGTGGGTGGTTCGTTACAAGTTGTGTTCTTTCTTCTTGCTGCTGAGATTCTTCGGGAGGATTTAGATGAGATGCTTGAAACTTTGAGTTTTGCATGAAATCCCTTTCTTTGCATGCCTTAAAAAAGATGTAGACGATTTCAATCAGAATACTAACGACGAAAATTCCATTTAACACAAGGACAAAGTCCATCCAGAAGGTTTTCTTTGCCGCTCGTTGATTGTGACAGTCGTGCAAAGTAGAGTGTTGGGCGTTGTTAGATGAATTCCTTGGCTGAGTGATTCCATCGGTTAAGTAACAGTGAAACTTAGAGGAAAACTTTGAAGGATAAAGCAACTGAGTTTGTAGGATGATGAAAACAACTCCTAAAACAAGTTTTATGGATAGTTGACCGCAGTAAGCGATAAAAAGCCTGTATCCCGTTGATAATGCGTTCTCTTGATCGCGCGACTGTCTCTCTGGATCACCATTACGAATGCTTCGCGACAGTCGATTGACTGTAGGTCTTACTATTTGGGAGTAGATAACACATACAAATATAATAAGGACGAAATTTATGATTACGAAGCCGTACACAGGCAAAGCGAATTTGTTGTACCGCTCCTGGTATTTCTCGTAACATTTTCCCCGGACGAAGTCGATGTTTTTACTTTTCGCTGCGTCACAGCGGAAATCAAACCTTGGTTCGCTGTTTTCCATTTCGGCGAATATAACAAGGGGGATGACACCAATCAGGATCCAAAAAACCACTACCACATAGTGAATTTTGCCAAAAGCTTTTGGCTCTAAATAATCTAATAGTTTTTCCATAGACATTTTGAGTGATTCGGTAACTTTCGTTTGAAGACTGATTTTCTCCGGTTTAAATGAATTGCTAGTTTGGTCATAGCATATTTATGAGATACAGAACTTTCGTTTGATTGGCTCTTTGAAAACTTTCACTTCTCAAAAAGGCAATGGCTTATGCAACGTTTACTTGTTTATATAAGAAACAGCCGGATATCAGAC